AAATCTAAAGAAATAATTACAAAAAAATCAAATTTGCTATCTATTTTTGCTTTTTTCTTATATTAGTTAAAGGTTATGTATAAAAAGAGGCAACTTTTAGAGGTAAAAGTATTAGTATTATATCTAAATAAAATAGAAATGAAGTATTAGCCAATCATATTTGAGCAAAAATAAACAAATTCTATTGGTTAAAAATTTGACATATATGATTTATTTAAGATAGCTAAGTGAAATTTGATTGGTTATTAGACATATAACAAATTTTTAATATTTGTTTATTTTCTAGGGTTAGGGTTAAGATTGCAAATTTTTTTTATATAGAAACAAAAAATCTAATTTAATAGGTAGATAAAGGACAAAATTCCAAACCACACCTTACTAAATACAATGCTTTATTATTTTACTTACTAAACAGTCCTTAAAAAAGGACTTTAGTAGGAGTAGTAATTTAAAATGGTGCTATTTGGGGTTGGATTTAGGCAATTTTTTAGAGCATGTATAATTTAATGTTTGTGTTTGTGTAACTCTTTATTTATTTTATTACATATGTGCATATTACATAATAATCTTAATCCATACGTGTGCATATAGTGTATTACATAACTTAAATGTGTGCAATATATAAACTAACCATGTACAATATAAAAGCTTAATTACTTAATGCATAAGGCATAGCTTAATTACTTAATTAGTCTTATAAAGGCTTAAAGTTATAGGGCATAAATAAATAAAGTATAATTACATAATTCTAAAAAAAGCATATAAAATCTTAAAAAGGCATAGGGCATATAAAGGTTAATTTATCTATAAAAAGAACTATTTTTTTCCTTAAAAACCAAAGCTTAGTTATTACCACCATCTTTAGTTACTACTAAGTACTGATCTAAAATATTATTTTATCAAATATTTAGCGCTTAAAGACATTTTTTTAAATAAAAATATTTCTTTTTATGAATAAACTTACTTTTTTTTTTATCGTGTGTAATGTTGATTATTTGTAGATGTGTGCTTGCACCAAGGTCGGGATGATTTTTTTCATAGATCAAAGATATTTTTAAAGTATGATTATTATCATCTGAGACATAGAATTTATATGTTAATTTTTCTTGTATTTTGATAATGACTTGCTTTAATTCTGGCAATAATTGTGATTGCATGTCAATTATACTAATACATGTTCTAACTAACATTTCGCAAATTTCATCATTACTATACTCAATTAAAATTTTGGGATAATTACAATAAAAGTTATTGAATTCAACTGATTCTATAAGTTCATCTAAGAATATATTTTTGGGTATGATTAGACCAATTTCTAAAAAAGTTTCATTAGGAGCAAAATGATCAGGAGAAAAAGAATCATCGCTTGTATTTGAAATCAAAATTGTTTTAAGTTGGGGAAAGTGATCAAAGAGATTAGCAAACATTTTTAGTATCTGACAGGGTTATCTATCGTTCACTTGAGCAAAACCCTAGTGTTTTTATAATGTTTTGGCATTTATTACTTTTAGGTCACGAGATCTATATTATCTAATCTACTTTAAGTTATTTATAACAATTAACAAAGGCTTTTGCTAAACAAAGTACTCCAGATTAGCCTTTTTAAAAAGAAAAATAAAAACAGCAAGGTAACGATAATCATTTTAATAAGCATATGCTTAGCTGCTATCTAATCTTTCAATTAAAACAAATTAGACATATAAAACAGTTAGGGTTGAAGATCGATTGTTATACTACGTTGTTGTTAATTGATAAATCGGAGTTTAATTATCTTTTAAATGATTGACTTTGTTAGTTGTCTAGTTTAGATATATGAGACAATATCTTAGATGTGGTTATTGATAATCAATATTGGTACCAACAAAACAAAGACGTTACGATGATTACAACCAGATAAGAAAATTATATCCCCTTAACCTTTTAAGTAATAATCATGCTAATGCTTTGTGCAATCTTCCTAATTAAGCTAAACCTAAAGTCTTGTTTTTTTTGTCTACTGATAAGAGTTAGATGGTGTTACTACATAAATTACATTTTAATGCTTAGTACTTGTTTTTTAGATTTAACTAAATAGGGTTTATTATCAATGTCTCATTTTAGATTTTGGCTAAATATATTTTGTGCTACATATTTTGGGAATATTAATCTTACCTTTTATATAAACAATGACTGCAAAGTAACTCGGGTAATGAATAATTACTAATAAAAACTAATCCTATTGGTTCTTTTAATTACTATTATAAGATTATACTTTATAATTTAATATGCATTGTATCTCATTAATCTACATCCTCTAGTTAGGGAAAATAAAACAGGTTAGTTAAAATCTGGTGATTGTGAGTCATGCCAAGAAAAAAAATAAACTTGTGACCTGCGGTGTTTACCAAAAATAAATCAATTATTTTGCTAGTTTAACTAAAAATGGATATTTGAATAAGAATATGAATGAACAAAGGTTTTAGTAGATAGATAAAAAAAATGCGATACATTTTTAATCTACCGTGGGTAATTTATTGTTTGCTTTATCTAGTTAGGTACAGTACTACAAAAGAATAAATTCAATTAAATGATTGTTTGGTAGAATCACAAAATAACCTCTTTAAAGAACTTGCTAATCGTTACACTATAAGTCATAAATACAATAAGGCAAAGGTTTTTTAGCCAATAAACACCAATCCCGAAAAGTATATTATATATATCACAAATCACGGTTTATCAATAAAGCTAATTTTTTTATAAAAATACCAACACTTGCACTTATAGATTATCAAATTTATTATCATACCTGCTGTCAACAAAAAAAAAGAAAAACAATAAAAAAACGTCACTCTCCTGTTTTGTCTTATCATAATAAAAAAAACATAAAACATGCCCCCTTGGTAATGAAGAACAAAAAAGTTCTCAAGAAAGAATGAAACGTGACAGTGCTGAAGGTAAGCACATGACTATTTTTTACTTATTTAGAATATATTATCAAAAAAACTAAGAAAACAAAATAACAGTACGAATAAAAGAAATCGAAGAAGAAACCAAGGAATTAGCAAAGAAACTAACTGTAATCAAGAAATTAGCAAAGAAACTAACTGTGCGTAGTGTACTAAGACAAGTATTTAGAAATGAAAATACAGATGCACAAACAAAAAAAATAATTTGCGAGTTTTTACAAAATATGTAATTGAAGGATTAAATTATTATTTAGAAATTTATTAGTTTAGTCAGAAAATAGTATTCTATTTTTAAAGTATGCATAAATATATCAATTGTGTTTGATGCATTAAAATTGCTATAACTTTATCCCAATAAAAATTCATTTTAAATATTTTTGTAAAGTACTACATTAATGTCTGATAAACTTTATTAGAATAAAAACCTATTTACGTAAAAACTATATACTTTAAACTATTTATTGATCTAAGATCAACTGTAGACATTGTTGTACATAGTACATTGATGGTAATTTAAATAAATCGTATTACAGTTCTTATACATAAACATGTGTTTTTGCCATTAATCTTGTTGTATATGCTAAAGGCTTTACTTAAATTACTCTAAATAGTTAGTTTATTTTTAAGATTGATATAAAAAGTCAGTGTAACATCTAATCAAGTGGTTGATATATTAAAAGTACTTACTTATTATGCTGGTGTTGAAAACCCCCAGTTAAAGATAATAATCACGGGGTTAAAATTAGCAGCTGTTGTAATTTCCGAACTAGTTTGTTTGTCAATTATTACTGGTATGCTTGCTACGACAATCAGTACAAATAAGATAATTATCAGGATGATGACATTTGCAAGTACAAGTGTTGGGGCAACGTATATATGGAGTTAATGTACTGTATTAAAAATGACATCCATGGGGCGTAGCAAACATTATTACTGGTCAGATTAGTTAAAGTTTTATCTTTAAATTGATCAAACAATAAAAAACAGTAATTATTACTATCTCAAACATATGATTATGCAATAAGTTACTTCACAAAGTATAGATATCAACTAATTCGAGTTACTGATTAGTGAGATAACCTTTAACAGTTTAATATAATAAACCCCGGAGTTATGATTGTTAAACACCGCTGCAGTCTTTAATAGGCATACATCATACCAAAACCCTTGATTTTAAACACCTAAAAAAGTACTAGTCAAACTTTAAACCACTAGTAATTTACCCACGGTAGAGACACTCTGTTAAAACACAGTAACTTATTGATCAAAATCTAACTAAGCCTATTATAGTAATTTAAATAAGAGTCTGCGGCTAAAGACCAAGCCTTAAGTAATTCTGTTTTAGATCTGCTAAACTTAAATCTTTTTTATAAAGTTGTTCTCAGTGACTACAAAGCATCATTCTGGCATACAAAGATCTGCATAAAAGGCGTAACATATTCCCAAGCTTGATATATCTAAACTAGGCAAGACACTACTATTATTACTCAATATAGATTATCTCTATATGCCAGTATCAGGAGTCAGAGTACAATCAAATGGTTTAATTAGGTTCATAGTAACTCACAGTAGCTTAATCTGAGCATAATAAACAATATAATGTTTTATTTTAGTTACTAATGAGTAAGATCCGGTACAACAATTATTGACTAATCTGAGTACAATGCTATCTCTAACTCTGTTGATCCAATCAAGTAATAGTTTATTAGTTAACGCAGTAATTATTGTGCTCTAGTATAGTAATTTTAAAGGCTTTAATCATGGGTTTAGACGTGTCAACACATAGGTTGAGAACTTTTATAAAGACTTGGTGAGTTTAAGTCAAGTTTTTTTGTAGTCTTTGAAACTGTAACTTCTTTAAAAGCAAACTTTAAAAAACATTTATTTTATCATTTTATCTTTTAACCCTAGTGTTTTTTTTTGCCTCTAAAATATGGATATTGCTTTCTCTCGTCCTATTCGTTATTATTACATAATTAGTGATGATAATTATTTTTATTTTTTTCCTTATTTTGATCAAGAAGTGCAAATAGGAAGTGAAGGTTGCGAAATAGTTATCTTTGGAAATAAAATCAAATTTTTTAATGTTTCCTTGCAACTTTTGGGAAAATCAGAGACTCATTCTGACAATCATATTGAAACATTGAGTAATGATCAAGACACAACTATCCAAAAAAAACTAAATAAAACTTTCGTTGGTAAGAAAAAACTATTAAGGGAAATGGACAACAAAGATATAAACTACAGAACACACTTTTTTTTAAGTGAAAAAGAAGCTGAAGAAAAATTTGTTAAGTTATTTTTTGATTTGCAGGAAAAAGAAGTTTTACCATACACGGATAAAGAAAGAATCCTGATATGCATAATGCTCAAAGATAGAAATACACCTAGAAAACATAGGAATATCATTTTATATGCAGAAAGATATAATAATGATACAAAATATAGTTTTAAGGTTGAACAAGAAAAATCGCATTCTTCTTCTATTTTGTTTAAATTAAAAAATTAGTTCTCTTTGCTAAAAAGATTTTGTTTGTTCAATTTATTTCTAATATTTATATATCTTTTTTATATATTTATTTGTTTTTTTTATATACCCTATGCTTTTTTAAGATTTTATATGCTTTTTATATAATTAAGCTATGCCTTATGCATTAAGTAATTAAGCTTTTATATTGTACGTGGTAGTTAATAATATGCTCTATGTAAATTATGTAATATCCACACATGTAATAAAATAAATAAAGAGTTATACAAACACAAACATTAAATTATACTATAAAGGTAATCAATAATTAATCTGTATTGGCAAAATTGTTTGTTTACGGTTATAAGATTCACTTAAGCATTGTTGATCAACTGTGTTAATATTAAAACATCCAAAAATAGTAATTCTTAATTAAAATTATCTAATTTAGCTAAGTTGGTTAACTTAAAATTTAGGGGTATCTTTTTAGGGTTAGGGTTAGGGTTATATACCAAAAGGGCTCAAATTTTAGGGACATTGCTTGAATCTAATTGGTTAAAAATTATTTATATATAATAG